CGGCCTGTATGATAGTGTGTATGTATGTCCACGCACAAAGTGCAGCCCATGAGATGGGCGCCCATGAAATGGACGGAGTGTGGACGGCCCACGCACACGAGGTGCAGCCCATGAAATGGGCACCCATGAACTGGGCGGAGTGTGGACGGCCTGTATGATAGTGTGTATGTATGTCCACGCACAAAGTGCAGCCCATGAGATGGGCGCCCATGAAATGGACGGAGTGTGGACGGCCCACGCACGAAGTGCAATGCCCGTTAGGAGGCAGGAGTGTGGGAGTATGAGTGTGATGGCCGAAGGCCGTGATAATTGCCAGATGAGAGGAGATAGCTGGCCCAGCACTCCTATTTATTTTCGTCTTGTATGAATTATGATACCTGTGTTGAATCAAGGATATCAATATTATTCATAGATGGGAAGAGGTGGGTGGGTGAGAAAGGAACAAACCGGTGTTCTTCTCACTACCCAAGCAAAGCAAATATGAAGTAGCAATACGGCCAGCGCGAAGTATGGTGTATGCGTTACGGGTTCAAGCTCCGATGTGTGCTGCAGCCGCATATGGCTGGTTGGCTGGCGAGTTCAGGTGAGTTCCGGCGTACGCATGTTACATGCCACCACAGCGTGCATGTACGTGTTACTTGACATGCATCAATGAATAGCGTGGGATCTGCGGGCTCTTTGGAAGCCGCTGGAGCGCGTGTGAAGTGGTGGCTTGTGCAATGTGTTAACCTACATCACCGCAAGCTCTAATGTGCTATTAACACGCATGCACTCACTATTGCAGACCAGTGGAGAGCACACATCATATGGAGGATTCATGGAGTGCTGGGCAACCGAATCTGGCATGTGATAATCGTGTAGGATAGTCCACGCACGAGGTGCAGCCCATGAAATGGGCACCCATGAACTGGGCGGAGTGTGGACGGCCTGTATGATAGTGTGTATGTATGTCCACGCACAAAGTGCAGCCCATGAGATGGGCGCCCATGAAATGGACGGAGTGTGGACGGCCCACGCACACGAGGTGCAGCCCATGAAATGGGCACCCATGAACTGGGCGGAGTGTGGACGGCCTGTATGATAGTGTGTATGTATGTCCACGCACAAAGTGCAGCCCATGAGATGGGCGCCCATGAAATGGACGGAGTGTGGACGGCCCACGCACGAAGTGCAATGCCCGTTAGGAGGCAGGAGTGTGGGAGTATGAGTGTGATGGCCGAAGGCCGTGATAATTGCCAGATGAGAGGAGATAGCTGGCCCATGGTTGCCCAGCCTCCATGCTAAGTTGTGACACATTGCAATGCACGTGAATGACACTGTTGTTGCTATCAGCGCAGTTTGTCAGCACAATCCTAGCAGAGCAAGTTGCTGTGCTGTTCCAAACGGTCAGCCGTGTGGGTACGTGCATGGGTGTGAGTTGCGTGCCCGCGTGGCGGGTTCTTACATACCTCCATGCGTTCTGTGATGCGCTTGTACCTCTGACAGCTTTTGGGTCAGCTGCGCCATGTCTGTGTCGGTTGTCCTGATGTAGCGCAAGACACTGTCGCTTCTCCATCGGCCCATTGCCCTGATTAGCCAGTCCGGGGTACCCGCCATGGCTGCAGTTGTGGCGGCACCGATGCGGAACGAATGACCAGCGTAATCGCGTGAATTGGGTGTTCCCGTGAGTGGGAGAAGCTGTCGGAGCTCTTCTGTCAGTGCCTGCCTGGTCAGCGGTCTCCCAGGGCGGTAGCGTAAGAGTGCGTCAGACGGACAGACTGTAAAATGTGCCAGGAGGGCGGCAACCGGGCGAGGTTGTGAAGTGGTACTACCGATTATCTGCATGGCCCTGACGAAGTTGGTCCGTCTTCGATTGCTTGATGTGGAAGCGGATATATGTGCGTCCTTGAGTGACATCCAGAGTCACATCCTGGCGCGTGGTATGAGTGGCAGGGTCAAACCCGGCTGGAGGCACAGTGAATTCAGCGCATCGAAGAAATCCGAAGAAGGCGAGCACCATTGCCGCCTTGAGCATGCCCTTGTCCTGCTGGTGACGCCGTTGGTCCAGGCTGAGTTGGTTGAGGAGCTTCCGCAGCAAATCAATGGTGATTGGGAGGCGAGTGCGCTGGATTGCCGGGTCAGTCGCCGTCCTCTTGATGCCTCGCATAACACGTGGCGGCAGCAATGCGTTCATCGTTGGATCTCGGAATCCGGCTTCGAGATGCATGTTGCGTACTGCGGCCATGTAGACATGAATTGTCTGTGGTTGAACCGATTGTGTGAGGTGTGCTGCGAAGCAGCTGGGCATCGTGTCTGTAGCCGGCATGGGCGTCCATCTCTGCAACGCACAGAATTGCGTAAATTTACTTTCGCCAGTGGCGTACGTGCGCCGTGTTGTCGGGGCGATTGCCATGGCTGCCAGGTCGGCGACCTCCTGCATCAGTCCAGGAGAGGGAGGCGGATTGCAGTGTCCGGGGCTTGCTGTGCCGATGGTGCCGGCTGCTGGAATGCCTGTCAGAGTGATACGGAAATAGGGCTTGGCGCGGCTAAACCTCTTGTTGATATCCCATAAGCGCCGCGTAAATGTTCTGCCTGGTACGACGACGCTCGACGCAAAGGAGAGTTTCCCCAGGAAGTGATCGAGTTTGCGTTGCGTGGTCTGGGTGCCGCGTGACAGCTCGCTGAGGAGCTCGCGGAGGTCCGTCGGTTTGTCGTCTGGGAGACGGGCTTCCATGCGCACCGTGTCCAGCACAATTCCTAGGAAGGCAGTAATGTGTGAAAGCGAACAGTGTTCAGGGGAGTGGAAGTCGGCTTACTTTTTCTCAGTGGGCTTCGAAGTCTTCTCGTGGCTATCTGCAGGGCGCTGCTACCTGAAGCGGGTGGTGCTGGTGCAGGATGTGGCGGCATGACCTTTGTCTTCACATGAGCTGCAGGCGTAGAGACGGTCGCAGGGTGTGCGGGAACAGGGCCTGCCGCGGTTGAAGTTAAAACAGACTTGGCGGGTGCTGCCCGCCACTGATGGAAAGGGCTGCGCGTGTTGAGCTACGGCATGTGGGCAGGCAGCGGTCGCGGCTGTTTTGGAGCGTGCATTTGGTGCATGACAGACGGGGAGAGCGGAGTAGGCGAATACTCCACAGCGTCTGATTGATCACGTCCCAGCGCAGTGCCATGCTGGCGGTGTGTTGGCGAAATGCTCGATCATAGTTCAGCACAGGAGACGTCTGCATGACAGACGGGGAGAGCGGAGTAGGCGAATACTCCACAGCGTCTGATTGATCACGTCCCAGCGCAGTGCCATGCTGGCGTTGTGTTGGCGAAATGCTCGATCATAGTTCAGCACAGCAGACGTCGTGAACTGTTGGTTCGCAGTACAAAGTATGTGCTGGTAGCAGACGAGCTCATGAGCTCGGTCAGGACGAGCAAGAACGACGATGCCCATGTAGATCGTCCAGGCCTCCAGCCAAGCCGAGAAGTCGTTGATCGCGCGCGTGTGCTTTGCGCTGAGGTTGAGCGAGAGCTGAGCCATGTCGCCGCCAGCTGTAACCAGTTGTATTGGCTCCTGTCCCTGGGAGCTGAAATTTTCCGGCAAGAGTTCCTCAAGTTCCACAAACTCTCCCCGCTGGATTTTTTCAATCGCACGACGTGGCGGTGTGGGTAGAACCGAGGGCTTGGAGAGAACTGGAGGTCCTGGCGAAGTCGGAGGTTCCGATAGAACTGGAAGTTCCGGGCAGGATAGGTCCGGAGCTTGACGCTCGGAGCGTGGGAGCGATCTTTCGGGTGCGGAGCGCGCGCGTGGGAGAGATCGGCTTCCAGATCAGACTCAGCACTGTCTGTTCTCCAGGGGTTCCACGCGTTCGAGGAGAGGGTGGAGGGCGTTCATCTTCATAACGGCTGAGGAAATGATGTCCGGGGAGAGCAATGAGGGCTCGTCCTGCATAGAAGCGTCGGTGCCTGGAGCGGGGTCAGAAGTCTGAACTAGCTGCTGACGGTGTGTCGGAGGCATCAGGCGCGAAGGCGCGCATGCCGTCAGTCCGCGCGTATGGCGAGGTCGAAGCCCTACCCGAGCGGCGACGGGTAACCTCGACGGCATACCCGCGTCCGCGTCCACGTCTGCTTCCTCGTACAGAGCCTCGTGGCATGGTGAAAGAGAGAGAAAGGGAGTGAGAAATGAGAAAGGAACAAACCGGTGTTCTTCTCACTACCCAAGCAAAGCAAATATGAAGTAGCAATACGGCCAGCGCAAAGTATGGTGTATGCGTTACGGGTTCAAGCTCCGATGTGTGCTGCAGCCGCATATGGCTGGTTGGCTGGCGAGTTCAGGTGAGTTCCGGCGTACGCATGTTACATGCCACCACAGCGTGCATGTACGTGTTACTTGACATGCATCAATGAATAGCATGGGATCTGCGGGCTCTTTGGAAGCCGCTGGAGCGCGTGTGAAGTGGTGGCTTGTGCAATGTGTTAACCTACATCACCGCAAGCTCTAATGTGCTATTTTATCAAGCATGAAAAATGAATGTGGTTGCTCTGTTGCCATTTCATAGGCCTCCGCAAACTCGGTTTTCTTAAGATTTTTGGAGTGATCATGTGCTAGACATTGGACATCTCTGTTGTCTAAGCCCTTGTACAGGAGGAAGCACTTGGTATTCCTCCGGATATATTTCGGTACATCATAGTATGATTGGCAAAGATATATAAAGTTACATTTCTTGTTCCGAGAAAGACTGAAGTATTCCATCACCTTTGTCATGTTTGTGATGTTGCAGGCCTCCTGGTTGATACTATATTATAGTATTGTACTATTATAGTATCTTGTACGATATTTATATGTGTATCTGTTTTGTTCCCTTTCTCTGTGCTTTCTGTTCCTGGTTCTTGGTCTTTAGTTTTGTCTTTGTTAGTGCTTTGGTTTGACCAGTACTGTAATAATAATAATGTCCCAGAACATTACATTGGCGACGAAGATGAACTGGATTTAATAGTTATAGTCATATGGATGACCTGAGTAGGCCTCAGTGACAATGGCGCTCACAGGAGTAGGCCCGGCTTTGGAGCCGTTCGATCTCGAGGGTCCTGCCCATGAAGTTTCGGCAAGATGGCGCAGGTGGAAGAGATCATTCCAGTACTATGTGGATGGGCAGAACATAACATCCGCGAAGAGGCAGAGGAGTCTGTTGCTGTACTTGGCTGGTATGCCAGTACAGGAGAAATTCGAAACGCTAACAGAAGATGAGGACACCGACAATTTATTCGAGCGAGCTGTGAGTGCTTTGGACAAGGCGTTTGAGTTCGTGGCCAACAAGAGGTTCGAACGGTATAAGCTTCGTCAGATGTCACAACGGACTGGTGAAACAGTATCTCAGTTTTCGACCCGTTTGCTTGGGCAAGGCAAATACTGTGACTATGGCACCGACATGGAGGATCATGTATGCGACCAGCTCCTGATAGGGATATCGGACAATCGCCTCAGAAAGAAATTGTTAGAAGTCGACGACCTCACTTTGGCGGTGGCCTTGAAAAAAGGTCGCGAGTATGAAACAACGGAGCAGCACGCACGTGATATGTCAACATCGACAATTCACACAAGTGCAAGTCACAGTGCAAGCCATGATGGGCATGGGTCCAGTTCGTACGGTACGGGTGAAGCTGCACCAGGAAGTGTGAATGCTGTGCACGGCGTACCCCAGCAAGAGTGTCACAACTGTGGAAAAGTTGGCCACTTCGCCCGCGACCGGAACTGTCCTGCACGTGGCCAAAGGTGTAGAAAGTGTGGTATAAACGGTCACTTCGCATCCAAATGCAACGGAGGTGACAAACAGCGTACAGGCAACACGCGTCACGCTCCCAAGTCGTCGGGAAAGGCAAGTAGTTTGTACAGAAAAGAAAATCACTCGGCAAATCAAATTCAAGATGTAGACGATTTTGTGTTTGGAGTGCGAGGAAGTAATTATTTGACACAGGCCTCTATCGATGTCAGCCTCAATGGTGTGTCGACGCGAGTGCTAGTCGATTCTGGAGCATCATGCAACTTGTTAGGAGAATCGACTTTGGGCCAGCTGCAATTGCAAGGCCTCGGTGTCACTTTGACGAAGTGCACCAGGAAGCTTTTCGCGTATGGAGCACACCAGCTGAATGTCGTCGGCAAGTTTACTGCAATTTTCCAATGCGGCTCAGAGCGCACTGAGGACGAAGTGATCGTCGTCAGAGGAGATGGAGAGTTCTTGCTGGGACGTAGTACTGCACTCAAGTTAGTTGAAGGCCTTGGTGCTACCTGACGTGAATCAAGTTGGCAGCGCCACAGCTAGCCCCAGTATCAACGATGAAATCAAGAATGAGTATCCTGGTGTGTTCAGTGGTGTGGGCAAGTTAATTGGCTACCAAGCACGTCTTCATGTAGACTCTGAAGTGCCACCTGTGGCCCAACGCCAGCGTAGGATACCATATGCGTATGAAACCAAGGTGGATGAAAAACTTCAGGAGTTACAGCAAGCAGGAATTATTGAAGAAGCTGTGGGCCCGACGCCGTGGGTAAGCCCAATTGTGATAGCACCAAAGAAGCATGGCGACATCCGTTTGTGCGTGGATTTACGCCGGGTCAATGAAGCCATCGTCCGAGAACGACATCCAATGCCAACAACAGAGGAGCTGCTGCATGAAGTCAATGGCAGCACGGTGTTTTCGAAGATTGACCTGAAGTGGGGATTTCACCAAGTAGAGTTGGAAGAAGAGTCCCGCTACCTGACAACTTTTGCTGCAAATGGGAAGTTGTACCGGTTTCGTCGACTGCCATTTGGTATAAGTTCAGCACCAGAGCTGTACCAGAAGATCATCAGCGATGTGATCAAGGATTTGGCCGGTTGCAGAAACGGAGCTGATGATATCTTGCTACATGCGGAATCACTGAACCAGCATGATGTGAGGGTTCATGCATTGATGAATCGCTTGCAGCAGGTCAACCTCACAGTCAACCCAGCAAAGTGTGAGTTCGCTAAGAGCTCCATTGAGTTCTTCGGCTTGCAGATATCTGACAAGGGCATACAGCCAACTCCGGAAAGGATACGATCCTTGGCGGAAGCATCCAGGCCAAGCAATGCGTCGGAAGTAAGAAGCTTCCTCGGTACAGCCGGTTTCAGTGCAAAATTCATCCCTGATTTTGCTACAGTTGCTGAGCCACTGCGTCGCCTCACGGTCAAGGGAGCTCAGTTCAAGTGGACTACAGAGCAACAGCAAGCGTTCGACCACCTGAAGCGACTACTGGTGTCCAGCTCAACACTGGCATACTATGATGCTGAAGCGCCGATCGAGTTAGTGACGGATGCCAGTCCAGTTGGGCTCGGAGCTGTGCTTGTCCAGAAGCAGGATGGTGTTTGGCGGCCAGTTGCGTATGCGAGCAGATCACTGTCAGCGGTAGAGCGGAGGTACTCGCAGACCGAGCGAGAGGCTCTTGGTATTGTCTGGGCGTGTGAACGATTTCACACCTATCTGCTAGGCAGGGAGTTTACACTCTGCACCGACCATAAGCCGCTGGAAGTGATTTATTCGGCAAGATCCAAGCCCAGTGCCAGGATCGAGAGATGGGTCCTGCGCCTACAGCCGTACAGCTATCGAGTCAAGCACATTCCTGGAAAGACGAACATCGCTGACGCTTTATCTCGCCTGCCCGTTGCAGCGGCGGATCCAGGAATCAGCAGTGATGAAGAGTCGGTTAGACTTATCACTCAGACAGCAGCACCCATCGCTATCGGTATCAGAACGATTGAACGTAGCTCAGCTGAAGATGAAGAGCTATCTGCTGTTCGCAAGTGCCTTCGCGACGGATCTTGGGATGGTCTGCCAGCAGCATACCGTCAGGTCCGAGGAGAATTGACTGTTGTTGGCAAGGTGGTGCTCAGAGGTCAACGCATTGTTATCCCTACAGAGTTGCGACACCAGACCGTGCAGTTGGCACATGAGAGCCACCAGGGCATCGTGAAGACGAAAGAGCGTCTACGGTCCAAGGTTTGGTGGCCAGGCATGGATAGCGAGGCCGAGAAGCTCTGCAAGTCGTGTCATGCCTGCCAAGTGGTTGCAGCGCCAGCCAATGCACCGCCAGTCAAGTCCACTCCTCTTCCAGATGCGCCATGGCAGCATTTGGCTGTTGACTTGCTGGGTCCACTACCGTCTGGCGAGCACATTGTGGTGCTTGCGGATTACTACAGTCGATATTTCGAAGTAGATGTGGTCAAGTCAACCTCAGCTGAAGCTGTGATTCCGATGATTGAAGCCCAGTTCAGCCGACACGGTATCCCGACGAGTTTGCGTACAGATAATGGCCCACCTTTCAACTCGGAAGGGTTTGCGAAGTTTCTACATGAGTGTGGTGTTCAACAGCTTCGTACTACACCACTGTGGCCGAGAGCTAACGGTGAAGTTGAGCGACAAAATTGATGAAAGTGATTCGTGCTGCATATGCGGAAGGAAAGACGTGGAAGCGGGAGGTTCAACGATTTTTGATGGCATACCGCTCAACGCCACATAGCACCACCGGAGTTGCTCCAGCTGAGTTATTGTTTGGGCGCAAAGTGCACTGCAAGTTACCAGCCCTCGGTGAACCAGCGACAAACGAGGCCGTCAGAGATCGTGACAGCGAGCGTAAGCAGAGTATGCGTGACTCTGCAGATGACGCCAACCATGCCACAAGCCAGTCAACGCAGATAGGTGACTCAGTATTGCTAAAGCGTTCGGAGACACGGTCGAAGGTCGACACACCATTCCATCACCAACCTCACGTGATGGTTAGTCGGAATGGGGACCAGGTAGTGGTTCAGGCACCGGATGGGAAGCTTGTGCGGAGGAACGTACAGTTCACCAAACCATTCCGGCAGCAGCATCCAGCTGAACCTAGCCCCGAAGTGCAAGAGGCACCCCAGCATCGTGCGGAGCCCCGCAGGTCAGAAAGGTTAAGCGTGAAATGCTAAGGAACCTGTCCGGCCCTTGTTCTGTTCGGCATTGACTAGGCTGTGTGACAGTTGTGTTTGACTGGTCGTTCGGCTAACAATGTATGAGCTTACATTATACTGTATATTTACATATTTTATGACATGGATTGATAGAACGCTTTTGGTTATTCGTCGCGTTTTGGACAGCCTATTTTGGTATATTTAGTTTGTTGAAATGCTACGTTGAAGTTTGCTATGGTCAGTATTTCTATGGACTGTAGTTGTAGACTTTCGAGAAAAGGAGGAATGTGATGTTGCAGGCCTCCTGGTTGATACTATATTATAGTATTGTACTATTATAGTATCTTGTACGATATTTATATGTGTATCTGTTTTGTTCCCTTTCTCTGTGCTTTCTGTTCCTGGTTCTTGGTCTTTAGTTTTGTCTTTGTTAGTGCTTTGGTTTGACCAGTACTGTAATAATAATAATGTCCCAGAACATTACAATGTTCTTTTTGTCAATCTTGATGTCATCAAAAATTATCACCTTATTTTCCTGATCATCGAGATCCTCCACTGGACAAACCTTGTCTGGTTGTTCAATGATAAGATTACCAGGAGATATTCCATTGTAAAACCTATCAAGGAGTTGATATTTTGGTTGTTGAGGATTTATTGTGTAAAGGATGATCTTATCACACTTCACCCATGATTGTAGAAGCATATTACACAGGGTGTTTGTCTTCCCACACCCCGTTTGTCCGATCATCATGTAGTGACAATCAGGAAGCAAGTAGTGATGCTTTGTTGGTTTCTCCTTGTGCTCATCAAAGTTGATCATTTCCATTGTTTGTATCTACAAAGGATCATTTTTTATTGTTCCAACACTCTCAATAAAAAAATATATAGAGAGATAAGGAAGATGAGTTCAAAATTTGGAACAGCCTTGGAAGCTAATTCGATCAATCTTGATTCCTATGCCAAAAAAGGGAGTTATTTGTCATCAGTGAAGAAAAGCTGGATAAAGCTGGTGGAGATGTGAATGGACATATTGACATGAACTATCATAGCATCTGCTTTCTTGGTTATGATGGAATAAGTACCACTTGTGCGGCGCCTACGGGGTGGGTTACAAGTGAGATAGGAAAAGTGGATACTTCATTGAGGAAGCATGTTGATGATGATAAAACACGACTGAAGGTGAGTGGTACACTGAAAATGGAAGGAAATCTTGACATGGGTGGAATGGAAATTGTGAATGTGAAGCAACCATCAACAAGTACATCTGTGGTAACATCAGAATATCTCAACACAGCACAAAGTCGGACTCTATGGACTAGTGGACTCAACCAGATGAAAGGAAATCTTAACATGGGGTTGAAACACATCGTCAATCTCAAAGACTCAACAGAGGATGACTCAGCAACAACAAAGGAGTATGTTGACAGAAAGGAGGGAAAGGTGAAAGTCAAAAAATGAAGAATATCATCCCGAGCTCATCAACCACTCCACCAGAAGCCACACTTCGTGCTTTTCCTATTTAAAAAAGTCCAACCAACAAACTGATTGTCATTGAGGATCTCTTCATAGTCGGTCAAGAAACAAGTGGTAGCAGAAGACGTTTTCATGTATCATATCGAGATGTGTTAGGAGAAAAAGCGGTAATCCGATACATCACAGAAAATGATATAACAACGGCATATCTGACCTTCATCAACAACACATTGACATTACCAACTGTGAGTGGATACAATCTCATTGATGAATGGGAGCTGGTTTATCATGAGTACTGAAAATCTTAACTATATCTAGATAAAAAATGGAAATACCTCATTTGTTAATACTGTTAACCATGCTACCATTTACTCTTGGTTGTATTCGTGACCCGTTGGATAAGGATGGACTCTGTTTGACAACGAAACCTCCTACTGTCATCCAAAGTGAAAGACCAACTCCGGTTGACATCCCTAGTGAAACATCACCACCAACAGACCATATCACTACACAACCCCCTTACGATCAGACGAAACCAGTAAACGGGGATAACCGTCATTTGACAGACCCCAATCTTTATCTTTTATCTCTGATTGTTATTCCTGTAGTTGGTGCTGTTGTATATGTCATAAAACGTTCCAGCTGTTCGATGAGTTTTGACCCTGAAAATGATCCAAGAAATTTACAACATCAACCTAGGTTAGATTTTGATCCGATACCATTATCAGATATGCTTGGTGTGAACATTCTACCAAAATCACCTTCAACCTTTGATGTAACTGGTATAGTCTGATGGGAAGAAAGAAAACGGTTTATGATAGAGTAAAAAAAATGATGAAACTGAAAATGATATCTGTTCTCTTAGAAATTATCATGTTGTGTAGTGTTTCACATTCCTTTCCAACTCCTGGGAATATATGTTGGGTAGTGGGTGATCATATAGCCTGTGTTCCTTCTCAACCACTTTTTCCTCCTGATAATGTACCAGTAGCATCGGTAGCACCGCTAACAACGGGAAAGCCAACAACAAGGTTAATACCAACAACGGTAGCTCCAACAACACCGGCAACACTGACAACACCGACAACATCGGGAACTACGCTAACAACATCGGGAATTACATCGGGAATTACATCGGGAACATCGGGAACATCGGGAATTACATCGGGAATACCGACAACATCAATCCCAACGTCAACATCGGGAACATCGGGAACATCGGGAATTACATCGGGAATACCGACAACATCAATCCCAACGTCAACATCGGGAACATCGGGAAATACATCGGGAAAATCAAACAACTTGATATACCTCCTTTTCCTTCTTCTTCTCATCCCCATTGCTGCTGTTGGATTTCATAGACAAAAAATATATATTATCATAGAAAGAAGGATGAGGACCTTCTTACTCACGAAACCACCCACCTCATGTAAAGATGATCAGGTGAAAAATATGACTTTCATACCCACAAAAGAAACCCTTGCTAAGGTGAGAGCAACACTCAACTCAGGATGGAGACCACCGATTATAGAAAAAGATGATGAAAAACAAAAAAAGATATATGAGGAAATGATCAATCCCTTAGCAAAACTTAAACAGGAAAAAGTTAAGTATGCTGAGGTGAGAGCTAGAGTAGCACTCAACTCAGGATGGAGACCACCGATTATAAAAAAAGATGAAGAAAAACAAGAAAAGATATATGTGGAATTGTTCCATTCCTTAACAAAACTAAAACAGGGGGCAGTTGAGTATGATGAAAAGATAGATGAGGAAATGAGCAACCCCTTAGCAAAACTAAAACAGGAAACAGTTGAGTATACTGAAAAGATAGCACGAGAGTATGAAGATGGGAAACAGTATATTGTTGATGATGAGATGGAAAATGGGTATGAGTTACCGCTTGACGGTGGTGAATCCTCATCCATAGCTGAACCACCCGAAGTTGGCTCAGAAACGGACCCCACATCAGTCCTCGAAGTGAGTCAAGATGGGGTAAGTGAAAAAGCTCAAGTTGGCTCACTTCCGATTTTCTCGGAGACAGCAAGTTGACTCACTTTTCTGGAACTGGGTTGAGCCAACATGGGATCAGTGGTTGGAGTGGTAAAATTAGTACTTGGAGGTGTAAAATTAGTACTTGGAGTGTTTATCCTTTAGTACAGTAGTATAGGATGAGGGGGAGACTTTGGAGAGCGGCCCGAAGGGCTGATCGAGAAAGTCGATTTTGGCTCACCTGGAAGGTGAGCCAGAACCCCCTCGTCCTATACTACTGGCACCAAAGAAAAAATGATCGCGAATAGCGCTTTGAATTGCGATGTGTTTGACTTTTTTGGGAAGTGGAAATCTGGCCTTTCACTGTCTGTGTTGCCAAATGCCAAGCGCAGCGATCCGAAGACCAGAACTGTAGCAGGGGCAACTGACATCCTGGAGAGCGTGACAGGCACGCGTGCACGGCAGAGGAGTACGAGTATGAGCGTCATGCTGATGAAGAAAGGTGTTTTCGATGCGATGCGCGCATGCGAGGGACGTTTTGGTTGTTCCTTCGTGGACCTGGCAGCAGCATTTCAGGAATCGTCTCAGCGTATCCAGTGGAGCGTATGACAGTTGTCTGGAGAGGCATGTGTGCCTCATTCGAAGGCTCTGTTGAAACACACTGTGGTGAAACACAGGTCACACTGCCCACGATTCCTTCAAGGACCGAAGTGACAGACACAACTGTTCCTTTCCCATTGCTGCCGTACTGGCGACAGGCTGACAAAGCAAGAGATACTCTACCAGTCTATGCCAGCAGCTAGACACCAGCAATTTAGTGTCAGCTCATGTAACGGCGGCAGCTCGAGTGATGGAGAGTTGTATGAACTCTGGACCTGTAAGAGTGTGAGTGCAAAAACGCGCTTCTTCGCTGATTTGTTTCGTGCATTTTGCTTACCTTGCTTCCCTTATATGACTTGCTTCACCTGATTCCATGGCTGATTTTTTTTCTTGTAGCGGAGAATATTCATGTGTCATGCTCCCTCACTATGTCTATTGAAAATTTCACAGAGCGGCAACAAAACGCCTGTTCTGAGTGGTGATAGACAAGCGACAATTGCGATGAGCCGGACCAAGTATGTACATGATTACATCACTACATACGCCAGTCAGAAATCAAGTACTTGGGACACTGGCTGAGCAAGGATGGTGTGCGTCCTGACGGTGACAAGCTGCTGGCAATCCAACAGTTGTAGCTGCCGCAGACGTTGATAGATGTACGTCGTTTCCTTGGTATGGTGACGTATTATTATTATTATTATTATTATTTGTGCTCCCGCGTCAATGGGCTCGCCCAAATTCGCTTGCACCGAACCATGCGAAAAAAGGCCGCCAGCAGGCAGGCAGGCAAAGAAAAATAGAAAATGGTGTCACATAAACTAATACAAACAAGAATATCATTACTGATGACATTAATATACTGAATGAATGGCAAAGGCCATGTGAATACGGATAATATGGATAATCAGAGTACCAACAACAAAGAATGTAGCTCAAACCATTGCAGTGCCAACTTCCTTCACCAGTACTCTGCCTTGTACGCATCTGTAACTGCGTTGCACAGATATGTCCATTCACGGCGATCCAGTGCTCGCTGAGCCATCAGCTGCAAGTCCCTTGGAGTCCTCAGACGGCAGCCCATATGTATGGTGACGTACCTTGGTAAATTCATACCGCAGCTCTCACAGGCAACTGAGCCGCTGAGGAAACTGGCTGAGCGACAACCATTCGTCGTTGATGATGAGCTGACGGCCGCGTTCACCGATGCGAAGACAGCCGTCGCCTCGTTGCTAGAGTGCTTATCGTACTTTAAGCCATCCTTGGACGTCCCAACCAAGGTAACATGTGACGCATCTCCACTTTCTCTGGGTGCTATTCTGTGGCAGCAAGACAAGAGTGGCACTTGGTTACCTGTCACCTGCGCCAGTCGTTCATTGTCCGATGTTGAATCTCGTTATTCCCAGTTTGAGCGCGAGATGCTTGCTATCGTATTCTCTCTGACTCGATTCCGACAATACGTCCTGGGGAGATCTGTTCAAGTTGTGACCGACCACAAGCCCCTGATCTAAATCGTCCAGAAACCGTTTGACGAAGTACCACCACGGCTGCAGCGCTGAATGGTCGCTCTCATGCCATACCAGTACACCTTGTCACATGCACCTGGGAAGCAGATGGTGTGTGAAGACACATTGTCAAGAGCGCCTGTCCAAGACTCAACTTCGTCACCAGAAGAAGCCTGCTCTATGGCTGAGTTCATTGGCCTGGTCTTGGAAGAGTGCCCAGTCAATATCGACGATATCGCCAAGGCGACTAGTGATGACCCACTGTTGCGCAGCATACAGCAGCGCGTCTTGATGCAATCATGGTCACAAGTCACACCCGCTGAAGAGCCATACTACCTTATCCGAGATCAGCCGACGACCATTGACGGCATCCTGCTATTCGGTAACTGCTGTGTAATACCAGAAGCTCTCCGACATGCCGTACTGCAATTGGCCCATGAAGGTCATCCAGGTCGGGACATATTCAAGGATGCTTTGCGACGACGAGTATGGTGGACCGGCATGTCTAAAGATGCCGACAAGTTTGCCGAGCAGTGTTCGGAGTGTTGGCGCCGTCATACAAACTCCGCACAAGAGCTGATGCTATCAGAAATTGAAGGAGTGTGGCAGAAACTGGCGGTTGATCTGGTGTGTATCGAGGGTCAACAAGTATTATCCATCGTTGACTACGGTTCACGCTATCCGGAGCTACTTCCCTTGTCAGCTACCACAACCGCAGCTGTCATTGACCGGCTGATGGAAGTGTTCGCGAGGTTCGGCCTGCCTAGGGTGTTGGTGTCCGACAATGGCCCCCAGTTTGCCTAAGCCGAAATGGCCCAGTTCCTGGAGCGGTTGGGTATCCAGCACAATCGATCAAGCCCACGCTACCCCAGATCTAATGGCATGGTTGAACGTCTTCATCGAGTCGTCAAAGAGAGAATTCAATCTCTATGACCGTCCCTGTCTTTGCAACGCCGTTTGCAACAAGTTCTCTTTGATATTCGCAACTCAGTGCACCGAATGCTGGGCATGTCACCCAATGATGCTTTCTTCGGTCGCATGGTTCGCACCCATGTACCTCACCATTCTACCCCACGCATTGTGAATGCTTCTCATCAGATTCGCGCCAAAGATGACATGGCAGTCTCGCATGATAGTCGCCGCGGTGTCCGCCAGTTGCCTATGCTGCGTCCCGGCACAATGGTAGTCTTGCAGGATGGCTATTCCGACCCAACTACCCCTTGGCGTGTTGTGCAGCAATATGGCAGACAAGTCGGCGTCACTGATGGCAGGCGGATACTGCTCCGAAATCGGCAGCATGTGCGAGAACATGCTTCACCTGCGTCATCAACTGCCACCTCTTCTCGGTCTTTGGATCTCCAGCCAGTTCCCATGCCAGATCCCCAGCCAGCTACAGTCAGAAGTGAAATCCTCGGCACCTAATGCAGATGTGCCACCTGCTACGCCTACTGCTCCATGTGAAGCAGGAGTGGAATCTGAGATTAAAGAGGCTGATGCTCAGATTCATCCCGAGTCCAGTGACCAATCATGTCGTTAATCACGCCTACCACGGCCCGATGCCCAGTCTTGCTGGCTCTATCGCGAGGGCTATGTAACCACGCTGGCCGCACTGTCAAGCTCACTGAGAAAGCTGCTGGTGCATTGATGTAATATCTCCATTTTGACTGACCATGTTGCACAACTATGCCAATTTGTGATTTAGTTGCTGGTTTGGTTTGTTTTGTTTGTATCGTGGTACAGGTTTGATGTATCTTCAGTGAGTTGACCCGTCATTGTCAGGGTGTATCGAATTTGTTGCTTTGAATTGATTCTTGCTCGTTTCCTCTGCAATTTTATTGCTCTTTTCTTGTCTGCAATTTTCTTCCTTTTTTTCTTCCTTTTTTCTCTCCTTTTTCTTTTTCTCAAACAGGTTTGCATTTGCAGACAATTTTTTTCTTAGGGAAGGGGGGTAATGTGGTAGTCATGCATTGTACATCACGGCTGTAGTACTGATGTGCACAGTCATTGAAACAGTGCATTGCGTAACGCTCTTGGTCATATGCTGCTGTTGAGCTGGTTTTACAGATGAAGAATCTGAGAGACACAATGGCTAGTTGTCTATTCTTTCCGTGTGCTTAGTCTGGCTTCTTGCATGCCTACACGCGTCCTGCCGTTTATCGTTTTCCTCACTTTGTTTGGTTTAACCACAGGTTTTTGAAACTCTTCTACAAACTCCTCCTGCTGTTGTTTGCGGATCCTTTTTTCCAGTTGACGTTGCTTGAGAATTTCTCGATTTTTGAGAAAGGTGTCAATGACCTCCTTCCGATGTTCAGGATTTTCTACTTGAGTAAAACGAGGCATGCTTATCTACCAATACTTTTTTTTCTTATCACTTCTCCAAGAACCTATCGAATCCACATCCGTACATCTCTGGCTGATATGTTGCTGTTTTATCAAGCATGAAAAATGAATGTGGTGTCTCTGTTGTCATTTCATAGGCATCCGCAAACTGGGTTTTCTTAAGATTTTTGGAGTGATCATGTGCTAGACATTGGACGTCTCTGTTGTCTAAGCCCTTGTACAGCAGGAAGCACATGGTATTTCTCCGGATATATTTCGGTTCATCATAGTATGGTTGACAAAGATATAGTTACATTTCTTGTTCCGAGAAAGACTTTTAAAAGTATTCCATCAATTTTGTCATGTTCTTTTTATCAATCTTGATGTCATCAAAAATTATCACCTTATTTTCCTGATCATCGAGATCCTACACTGGACAAACCTTGTCTGGTTGTCCAATGATAAGATTACCAGGAGATATTCCATTGTAAACCCATCAAGAAGTTGGTATTTTGGTTGTTGAGGGTTTATTGCATAAAGGATGACCTTATCACAGTTCAACCATGATTGTAGAAGCATATTACATAAGGTGTTTGTCTTCCCACAGCCCGTTTGTCTGATCATCATGTAGTGATAATCAGGAAGCAAGTAGTGGTGCTTTGTTGGTTTCTCCTTGTGCTCATCAAAGTTTATCATTTCCATGGTTTTTACCTGAGAAGAATCTTTTTTATTGTTCCAACGCTCTCAAGAAAAGTGTTCTGTGCTACGGTGCACCGTACTATGCTGTACTTTGTCCCCTGTGACAGCTGCTGACGGTTTGCCGCTCGTTGTTGCGTGTCCAGCTCTAACTGCCCTTGACCTTGGCCTGCTGCTGCTCATAGATTTCGCGATGGCGGATGCCTTGACGGTGACCAATTCCTCATTTAGTCCTTTGACTTCTGCAGATAGCTCTGAAAGTCTGTGGCTCATCCTCGACGCACTGTCTGCGGATTCTGTGGCTAGGAAAGATAGCGTCTGAACTCCTAACAGCGAGTGCTCAATCCCTGGGAGGCAACAAAGCAGTTTCGTCTGGGCTTCGCTTGAAAGCTCACCCATGACGACGGCCTGCCACCGTTGTGCTACCTAGACTACAACTCCACTATACTACTACTGATATCTACCTAAAAATACTGTACCTTCCTCCAGTCCGGCCTGATGCCGGCTGGGCTAAAAGAGAGGCAACAAATCAAATCTACGAGCTCGAAAAACCGAACTGCACTCGATCTCTGATGCATATGGAGGAGCTTTATTTGTATGCTACGCTTGCTGGCCAAAGCCCCATTGACCGCGATGCGTGTGTACCCGCAAACGTCATTCGAACTTCTCCACGTCGCCTAGCCCCGCGCCCACCGCTTCTGTGTAGAGTTCCGGTTTTATTTCTCCTTGTTGATTACTTCTCCCAATATTAAGTTCGGCTGTTGTTTTCTATATACTTACCTAAATAATTGATTTCCAAGTTTCAGTCCTTTTATTTACCTTCCAGTCCGCCGTTGTGAGTGCTGTGTGCGGAGTAGTAGTGGTGAATAATTGTTGTGCGTGCATTACACAACACGCACAAGGCTCCTTGCTGTTATGTCAGAGATTACCGGACCTGACAAGACATGCCTGATTAACCATTTGCTGTATGGTACAACATTGTGAAGAAGAGGTTGGTGCGACTTCGGCGATAATGAGGGAATTGGGTGATGCTCCCTATGTGGGTGCTTGCGCTATTCCTGCCGACTCGAATTCTCAATTCACTGACTCACGACTGCCATCAAGAGGATATGAGAAGTCCACCGAAACGTCCACTCGGCAAACCTGCAAGAAAGCACAACTCCCTGATCAAGACACAGTGTTTCGTGAAATTCACCCCTCATCAGTTGAGCTTGAGTAGGCGTAGAAAGATTGTGCCTGAAGAGCACCACTTATATAGTGCTCTCCAGGCACAAACATCACCAGGGATACAAACTTACAGAGACGCTCTGTATCCAGCGCGAAAAATATCTCGTGAACACCAGATAGCAGCGTGAGTCAGTGTCGCTCTTGCAGGTGCTGAACAGATGCCGAGGAGATGATTTAGAGGCCACATTCGCTATGACTGAAGATAGTGAGTTGGACACCGAGTATAGCGCTAGTATTGGTAAGATGGCCCATGTGCTGCTAGCAATGGCAAAGCAGTTGATCTTGGAACAATGTGAATCTGAGATGAAGACGGACCTGATCTACAGGATGTATGTGCGTCAGGTTCAGGAGCACGGTGCGTATTACCAGGTCGCACACGGACAACAGGGTGATACTGCCAAGAAACCAGTGGGAGGATCAGGTCTAAAGCCCACTATATCGGCGCATTGCATGTCGATATCGGTCGGACACGCCGAGAAGAAGCTGGAGTATCTGCCTAAGGAAAGGAGGAGGTGAGACTGTGTGGAACACAGAGATAGGTTGTGTGTTGTCTGGTCCAGCGTCTGCAACGTGTCGAAACAGTAAGCCTGTGACCGTGTCATTTGTCACAGCCTACATCGACGAGCTTGGAACAATTGAGTTGGCAGAAGTGGTGAGCACTGATATTCCACCTTGGTCACCATTGCAGCAACATATAGTGAGCCCCGAATCGCTTGACTTGTGAGCTGTTGTACGACGCTGAGAAGTCCTTTGGGGAGGGGGGGGATTTTACAAAACCACAAGTTCTCGCTGGTGACATGGTATTCGCTTGAATGTCGCATTTCGACTCCGCCTTACCCCTGATGCATCATGCATGGTATACGCTATATGCGCTGTGTGCGATTTACTGTGTACGCTGTCATTTCCATGCTATAATTATCTGGTGGTCTTAGACTGAGTCAAGCGTTAAGAGTCAATAGTTGTCCTCGTGCCGTGTGCTCGTTCGGTTCTGACACTTACGAGAATCAGAGGCTTCATAACAAAGCATTTCACACACAGCGTCTACAACTGTTCCCTTCAATCAGTGAAGCAGATAATAATATTCACAGATATTACAGGTTTGTTCATCACGTATCCAGCAATACTCTATATACACACAGGTATAATTACTATTCTCTGCGTTCAGTGGTGCATTTGAGAATACTTACAGTCTTTGGAGGTTTGTTAGACCAGAGAACACACCATCACTTAAATTATGGATCTTATTTTTCTCCAAATATCTACAAACGACAAGCCACAAGGACAATGTTGTTGTTGCTTAGTTCCGGGTAGTGCACAAAACACCCAGTCTAGGATATAGCAGTTCTAATCTAAAAGGCCGAATCATGACCATGTTTTCAGGAATAACCTAGACTCCTAACCCACAACATGATTCATATGCAACTGGGTTAGGTTGCACAGTTCACATATAACACTGTAAAATATAGTCTCCGTCATTTTCTTCTATTGTCAAGCATGAGGTTTGTTGCAAAGCTAAGAACACACAATTTCTAACGATACTTTGGTTGATATTGCAGAAATATAGCTGAGCGCCAAAGCATGAAAACCATTCTGGCTTGAGTATATTACAAAATGCGTCAGAGCTGAATATGATATTAAACAGTATATCGAAACGGAGACTTCCCCAGATACTCATAGGTCCTTCGCGGATCATGGCCATAGAAAAGGTACAAAATTCTCGGTCTTCTTTATGGTTCGTTTAGTTAATGTTTTGATAGGTTGATACCCCCCCCCCCCCTTGGTGTGTTGATGAATAAATGGAGCAGAATTTTAAGGAAGAGGGTGCCATAAGGTTTGAAGGGTCTGCAAATTTCAATGCTTCTCGAGCAGAATCTGTCATTGCTTTAGAGAATTTTCCGCAAAAGGGCAAATATCCCATAGATTCAATCAGCAATCTAAAGGCCATATAAACTTCGTTTCGCGTTCCCTAAAACTTTTAATCCAATAATTAGGGTTTCACCTCTTGACGGTACCCAGTTACTGCTCTGGACATCTGGACATCGTCTTCCATTCTGGGTTCTGACTTTCTTTCAAATTCTTGCTCGTTATGGCTCAGGTAGACGTATCCTCTCTATGTAGAATCTGAATGCGCTCGATCTTTGAAGAGGAAATAGCATTAAAATGCCCTTTCCTCTTTGAGTATCACCTGTGATTGTCGGCTGTAGTCGGACGTTCCCTTGCTATTTGGATAGGGACCAAGTGAAATGGAAATAGTGTTGTTTTCTCCTGGCCCCTGACACACATCAACACAAGCTCTTGATTGTGTCTCAATTCTTATATTATAACAACAAAATGACGAAGGTGCAGAAGGAGCATGGAAAACGAAGGTCAAACGAAACAACAACAGGAAGGACACGGAGAAACCACAAAGAACAAGCAGTAATAAATAATAAAGCGGATACAAATCCATACTGACCAGCCACCTAAATCTCTATCCCTTGACAAGACATACAGAATCCCTGGATTTCTCTCAAAATCCCTGAATGTCACGAAAACAAGTGAAAAAGAGCTTTCCCGGCAAAAAAAGGTTTGACGGCACAAACTGCAGATCTGTACAATACTGTTCAACCCTGCAGTGCAGTTCGATCAGTCGTCACCCGCGCCTGCAAGTGCAGATCTTGCAGGCTAGGCTGGTCAGGTTTTGAAAGTGCTATGCACAGTTTGAAGTGCGATTACGCACTGTAATTTTTGGAAGAAAAAGAACGGGACATTCGAGGCGATTCCATGGAGTTTCCGAAACATTTTGTATCAGACAAAGATGTTACTTTAACGTGAGTTTGTTTGAAATCCTTGAGACCCCGGGACGTATGAAGACTCTTTTTACGGGGAAAAGAAATACAATGGATGAAAATGCAATACAAATTTAATGCAAGCTCAGAAAACCAGAAAAGGAGAAAAAATGTAACCCAAAAGGTGTTCGTAAGTATCTGCGATCTGCTGAATGGCATTGGGCCTCTACGCACCTGTTATTTGTGTGTGTATGCTTGTGTGTGTGTGTATGTGTTCGGATGCCTGGGTGTGTGTATAAAACAAACACATATTTAATATGTGTTTGTGTGTGTGTGTGTGTGTGTGTGTGTGTGTGTGTGTGTGTGTGTGTGTGTGTGTGTGTGTGTGCGTCACCAGAAGAGCAGGGTCAGCGTTTTCGGAGACATTTCTCTGGAGTGCTGAACATCCATAGCACATGGTCACTTAGTGCGCTGGACTACATCCCACAACTGCCGGTAGACCAAGATCTCGCTAGTCCCCCTACACTGGAGGAAGTTCGTCGTGCTATTGGCAAGCTCCAGAGCGGGAAATCGGCTGGAGCCTCTGGTATCCTCCCGGAAATGCTGAAATTTGGTGGCGAGCAGCTGTTCCTCAGCCTTCATGGGCTATTTGGCGATGTGTGGCGTGAGGGTCGTGTCCCCCAGGAGTGGGTAGATGCCATGCTGGTGCCAATACCCAAAAAAGGTGACCTCTCCAGGTGCGATAACTGGCGTGGGATATCTTTGCTGGATGTCGTAGGCAAGGCACTAGCAGGAGTCATTCAGCTATACCTCCAGTCTCTGGCCAAAGAATTCCTCCCGGAATCGCAGTGTGGCTTTCGCCGTGGCAGATCATGCTCCGACATGATATTTACCATCCGCCAACTCTTGGAGAAGACAGTTGAACATCAAACCAAGGGTTTCTTTGTCTTCATCGATTTGCGCAAAGCTTACGACTCGGTTCCTCGTGAGTGTCTCTGGCAGGTATTGGCTAGAGCTGGCGTCCCTTCACCCATGCTGGCGGTGATCAAGTCGTTTCACACCTCAATGGCTGCTGTATTACGCATGAGTGGTACACAACTGTAGATCCCTTTAGCGTTCATAATGGTCTACGCCAGGGTTGCTCAATGGCGCCCGTGCTGTTTAACATTTTCATGTGGGCCGTGGTAAGCAGGTGGCAGCAGCGCGTTAGTTGTGTACCTGGTATTGGTTTCAGTTTCTCGCACATTTCTGATACTGGTAACCTCTACAGGAAGTCTCACCGCACCGACCCTGTCACTACCGCTACGGAGGCTCAGTTCGCTGATGACTCGGCATTGGTCTCTACATCAAGAGCTGGTGCTGAGGACGCATTGGCAACCTTTGACAACACGGCGTCCGAATTTGGCCTCGCGGTTAGTGCCACAAAGATAAAGTTTTTGGTTGCTGGTGCTGATGTGTCTGCTGCTGACCGCGTACCCCTCAGTCTAGCTGGTGTCGACATTGTCTGTGCCACCGAATTCAGGTATCTGGGTTCGGTAATTCACAGCGGCGGCCTTTCATCCTGCGATGTTGACTCCCGCATTGCGAATGCCTCCCGAGCGTGTGGCGCTTTGCAAAAGTCCATCTTTGGCAACAAGCACCTTGACCTCCACATCAAGAGTTGTGTGTTCAACGCCTGTGTCTTGTCGCTCTTGCTGTACGGTTCGGAGTGTTGGACGCCTCTTCAACGGGATTTGCAGCGGCTCTCTGTCTTCCACCACCGATGCATCCGCTCGATCATGGGAGTGTCTCGCCAACAATGCTGGGATGACCACATCACCAATCACCAACTACGTGTGAGGTGGGGTGATCCCGACACCATCTACACGAAGGTGGAGTACCGCCGCCTTGAATGGCTCGGACATGTTGCTCGGATGGAGGACCACCGGCTGCTGAAGCAAGTTCTCTTTTGCACGCTTCCGTCGCGTCGCCCAGCTCATGGCCCTCGTCGGCGCTGGAAGGATTGTATTATGTCTGACCTTCGTTCTCGCGGCCTCGAGGGGGAATGGCGAGCTGAATGCGAGTTGCGTTCCACCTGGCGCTCGGCGTACTCAGCACCAGTAGATCCCCAGCATCCCCCCCCCCCTCCCGTCATCTGCTACACCTGCGATCGACAGTTTGCACGCCTCAGTGATCGCGCAGGCCACAAGTGTAAGGTTGAGCGTGCAAAGCCGGTTGTGGAGCAGAAAAGGTGCATGCCAGTGTGGAGAGTGTGGCCGTTGGCTGAAGTCCAGTGAAGGTCTGGCAAGGCACAAGTGTACTTACCCCCAGTCAGCAGTCGGTGCGCCACTGCCGCTGCCTGCTTCTCCGCTGTGCTGCGTCGCTCACTGCCAGGCTTGTGACCGCTGCTTTGCGTCTACACGTGGCCGCGCCCGTCATCGCTGCTCACGGACATGTAGTCGTCCGACCGTTCAGGACCATCAGGGTTTCACATGTGTTTGCGCCTGCTCCCGCCGATTTCACTTATAGCATCACCTGGATCGTCACAGGGCTGTGTGCTCTTCCTCTCTCTCAGCTGCCCCTTGGGGACCACGTAACCTTCATGGCAGTGTCTCAACAGGACAGGACAGGTGTTTGCGTGTGTTTGTGCATGCATTCGAATACATGTGTGCGTGTGTATAGTGCTTGTATTTGCGTGTGTGTGTGTGTAAAAAAAGAGTAAATTATCGTGTCCGTTCCCGAAGGAAACTCACGACGGCCGCTAACATCCGGTAAATCCTAGCGGCATTAGCTGCATCCATGTACCCCTTGTGCCTGGCCACAAGTTCCCAGTTGACTGTGGGTAGCAGCACGGTGGGGAAAAACGCTTCCAGGCAGGACGTAAACCAGGTACCTCTCGTATTTCAATCATGGTATTTGACCAACCCACTGTGCCTGCCTGTGTGTGTGTGTATATATAATACTTGCGTGTGTTTGTGTGTGTGTCATTGAATCCGAGTGATTCTTGGTGTGTCACGGGCCCAGCAGTGGCAGGAGCGCATTTCTTCTATGGAACTAGCCCGTCGTTTCGGTATGCCGTCGTCAATGGCGGGGGTCGCAAGCTGTCACCATTCACGCTGGCTTGGCCACCTTGGGCGAATGGAGGATTCTCGTCTCCCCAAGCGCGTTCTGTTTGCTGAGGGACGCAACACAAGGCGCAGACACGGTCTCAAGAAACCTTGGAGGGACATCGCCACTGCTGATCTGAGTGGTCGGTGTGTGACAGGTGACTGGTGCGACTTTGCGCAGGACAGGCAAGACTGGCGCGTCATGTGCAATCATCCCCGGCCGTGTGTGCAAAAGCCTAGAGTGTTCATTTGCGGCTGTGGCAGGGACTTCCGTTGGCCCAATGATCTAACTCGCCACAGGAAATACTGTAACTCCTAATGCTATTATTGCACGGAGCAATGGTCAACCAATGGTCTAATGGGGGGGGGGGGGTATAAATGTACACTAGTAGCAAGTATTACCTTCACTGCAGGGGTAACTGCAGTTGTATCCCTCGACGGATACACTGATGCCTTCAATGCTTTTTCTGCACCTTGTCCTCACCCACTTACTGAGGTGTGGTGAGCCCATAAGTGGGATCATTTTCAAGTCCACCCAGAGTTTTGGGGATTTCAATAGCCAATTGAGTCATCTTTCCAAGATTCCTTTTGAGTCTCTCCCCCCCCCCCCCTCCCGGGGAGACCCACGTGACCAGGTTTGGCAGTGAGCAACAAGTACAATAAATTCATCGTCAATAATTCTTGTGTGTGTGTGTGTATGTTTGTGTGTGTGTGTGTGCCTGTGTGTGTGTGTGTGTGTGTGTGTGTGTGTGTGTGTGTGCGTGTGTGTATGCATTTGGATGGCTGCTGCTGGGCGTATGCAGTCAATGTATTGCGCGCCTGAACCTCAACTTTTTCCTCTCATTCAACACATTCCGTGACCGCGCTGCCGCCCTTGTTTCCCATTTGGTCTGTAGTAGGCATTTCCAAAATCTGCAGGCCGAGAAATATGCCGAAAACTGCGGTTTTGAAGAAATCACCGATCTTTTGGCCGAATATGCATTTTTCTCACTGAATTCGTCGAAAATCGATGTTTGTTACTAGCCAACATGGTATTTCGCTATTTAATACGCTGGACAGGTTAAAGACAGCAATACGATTCGTACTAGGAATATATACAACAGGATTGACTATGTGGTTGTTCCACCACATTGACAGCCTATCAATTACAAGGCCCGATCGTATCCTGATACAAAAGTGTTCAGTTATTGCACCACGTATGTAGCATTATTTTCGATTCACTTTGCAGTGTTGCTAACCACCCGTATTTGTCCGTATTTGTACGGAAAACGAAGTTTTGTCTGCAGTACGGATTTCAATCCAGTATCCCGCAAACGATCATGTATATGAACGATTACTAAAACCATCGTAACTCCATCGTTTATTGTGCTAATTCAATAATCGAATGGCCTACGTGGTAGAAAAACTCCAAACTGTCCAATGCAACAATGGCTGAAGCGATGTCGGACTAATGAGGATATCGCGCGCCGTATTCAGGCATTCTTACCTTGGCAGAATCAAATATTTGGTCGAACTCTTCGCCATTTCGGGGGGAAATCCTTTTTGCGTGCTCTTTGAGCGGAGACAACTTGCTGGCTGCGCATTCCGGTCCATGTACCTTATCTGGTTCCGACGTGGCGAAATCAGCGAGCGTCTCAGGCTGCGACTGTATGAGGCGTACATCATACCTGTCCTCACATACGACAGTGGCACCTGGGGTCTTACCAAAAACTGAAATGGCCTGAATGGACATTTTCCACCGACGACAGCTCCGCTCAATCATTGACATGCATCATCCCCGGCACATATCGAACGAAACCCTGTACAGGAGGTGCAAAACCCAGCCATTAAGCATCACCATCAACCGCCTGCGGATCGGACTCCTCTGGCACGTTCTGCGCTCACCAGTCGACACCCCGGCACAACTCGCTATGGGTGCGTACTTCCGCCGGGCCAGCGATCCAGCTGCACAACGCTTCCACGGTCGGCCGCGTACCACCCTTGCAACCACCGTCATCGCCGATCTGACCAGCCATGGTATTCCCACTTGGACGCAGACCGATCTTGAGACCTGGTGCACCAGAGCCCAAGACAGAAAAGGCTGGCGCACCCTGAAGGCAACTTGCTAGGACCAAACTGTTCAAACCACTCCAGACCGATTATTCAGAAATGACGAAACAACTCACCAGCTATTATATCAATGAACTAGTAATTTTCACCTTTCTGTAGCGCATCCTATCGATCACAGCTATTGTGCTCTACAGCATTGTTCCTCAAGATTCTGAGCTTTCTGTTTGTCTTTCTCTTTATCATCATCCTGGATGGCACAAGTGAAGTAGGTATCCCTGCTTACATCGCGATAGTGCTAATAATAATAATAATAATAATTTGAGCGACTGAGCACTTTATAATGATGTAGGGGGCTGAAGATTTTCTTGAATCGGCTCGAAATATTTCAGCGTTACGTGAAGGAGGAGAGTGGAATGGTGTTGTTGGGACGATTTGCTTGCATATTAGGCTTGGAGACGACTTTGCTCGTATTACCGCGCCTGCTTTGTTACAGCTTCATAATGGAGGTTGGCGTCCTGGCGTTGACCCTACTTAGGGCTTTCCAACGAGCCCTAGATTGTGAAAATCAAGCTAAGTAGACCAAAGTTATGACCTGGTGAAGTTGACAATTGTACTGAATTCGTACGTAGGCTACACAAGTGAACTAAATCAGTCAAAATGTTGACCTGAAAAAAGAGTACGGAAAACTCTGAAAAATTCTGCAAAATGGCACTGGGCAATACGCATGGGGTAGAGGGCACTTGGTAACACTGACTTCGTCTGGTTTCAGGCCTGGCCGAGGCACATGGGGTGTGGACACAGCACTAGATTTCAGCTAAAGCCACCCACTTCGTGTGGGATCGCCACGTCCTTGGCCTCGACATGTCAAAAGCATTTGACACCAGTAGCTTCATGAAGTAGAATAGTTCGCCTCTTTTTGCACACGTATTATGATACCATAATGTGGGTTATCCGAAAAAGAGGGCAGATTCCCAATGAGGCTGTTCTATACACACCTGCTATTGAAGGACCATACATGTACATAGCGCTTCTTGTCGATTTGGAATAATTTATTTTATTTTATATACATTTTTTGGTCTGAATCCTTTTTTCTTCTGAGTCCTTTTTCATTATTGTCATCTGTTTTGTTTTTGGTCTTTTTGGTGAAGCACGTAAAAGCGTAATTAGCTGTTTTCTCGAGCATCCTGCGACCATCCGCTAAAGCATAATCCGGTCATTTTCTGGGCATAATCCGATTACCCCTACTAGTGTGCAGAAGGAACTATGACACTATGTAGAATTACAGGGGTTGTGACTGAGAGGAGCATCATGGCGAGTCGGTTGTCCGAGTCGGTTGTATTGCGTAGATAATGATAGACAAGAGCAGTGATGTAGCAATGGGATTTGGGATAAAGAAAACGAGCTGTGAGACGTTGACGGGTCACTAGAATGATAAAGCACTTTTAGGCTCCCGCTCATATTGTCCACGCGTCAGGCGCCCAGCCTCCCTGCCTATCCGACCCGCTATACACAACAACAAAACTGAACTAAAGTTTTACATAATTTAATTATTCCACAAGACGGAGACGGGCAACGGACAAACAAAGAAGACCGGACACAACAAGGGAAACTAGGAACTGAAGAAAATGACAAACATAATGGCAGCACATGAGCATGCTCGCAAACAAAAACGCATGACAATGACGTAACCGTTCCATGGTGCATGCACAAACTGGATGTGAAACCAAAACAGTCCAACTGGGGGAAAAGGAGAGTGCAAAACAAAACAAAATAAACCGAAGGACCACACAAAAATGGGGCCATGAAACGTCTTTCTTTCCAATAAAAATGATATGCAAAAAGCGCTTTACACAAAGTGTCTACAACTTTACTGTTCCCTTCAATTCAGTGCAGCAGATACTAATAACCGCAGCACGGTGGGGAAAAACGCTTCCAGGCAGGACGTAAACCAGGTACCTCTCGTATTTCAATCATGGTATTTGACCAACCCACTGTGCCTGCCTGTGTGTGTGTGTATATATAATACTTGCGTGTGTTTGTGTGTGTGTCATTGAATCCGAGTGATTCTTGGTGTGTCACGGGCCCAGCAGTGGCAGGAGCGCATTTCTTCTATGGAACTAGCCCGTCGTTTCGGTATGCCG